ATCGTGATAGCGGCTTTTGCTCTTGAGCTTTTATCTTCGTACTCTTCAAACTTGGAAATTTTTAGATTTGGAACATTCTGTTGCTCAACGACGAATCCTTGGCGGATGCATGGGGCAAGGGGCCCCAGGAGCAACGGGAATGCGCTTCGTGTCATACATAACATAGGAAACAGCTTAGTTACATACCATCGATAGTTTAAAACAAGCTCTGGTTTACTAGACCATCGATAGTTCAACCAGCACTGATTCTGATCTTGCTATGTTGAATTGCGTTACTGGTTCAGTGCAGGGCCAAACGCCTCACATTTCTGCATTGGAGCACGACGGTTATCTTTGGCTAGCTCTTACAGTAGGGCCAAAACTAGAAATGGAGCCAATTAAAATCCGCTTTGCATTCAGAGCCCATTTTGCAGTTTGCAGGACAGAATCCCATTCATTCATAGCTGCTTTTGTATCCCCACTTGGGGAACCACGGGTAAGCTTCGGAAAAATCATCTGGGTTGGTCACAACTAAGGACGGAACTGACCTTGTTGATCCACTGCTTGGCAGGCAAGGTCAATAGTTTTCTGTCACATGGTCACTGTTTGTTTATAGGACGCTGGGAAAAAGGCAATGGATTCTTCTTCTACCGGAACTGTTGTTGCAGGACTTTCAATTCCCCAGTGCTGTCCAAGTGATCTCCCTAGCTTTTTGCAAAGTGCTTTGCCCAGCTTTGAACCAAGCAAACCCCAAGCTCAGATGGATTTTGATCCAGGTTGCACTGCGACGACGCCCAGAAGAAACGATTGCTCAATTGTAGGTTCGGGTGTAGGTTCCGTTCGGCCATCGTCTCAGCCTAGGCTTTCTAAGGAAACTGGCCACAAAAACCAGCCGTGTGCCCTTCTCAATGGCGAGTCCTTTGTGGGGCACCACTCCACCAAACAGCAAGACGCTGCCTGGTGGTGGAACCAGAACCAAAGTTGGATCCGTCTCTTTGGCTTTCTCCAGCGACACTGGCGGCCAAAAGGCCGTGCCGCCACCCCCCTCAAAGTCGACTCCCGAAGTCGACAAGGGAAACAACAGGGTCAGCGCCTTTAGATCTGCGTGAATGCCAAAATGGCCGCCGCTTGTGTAAACGTTGATGGCCGGTTCTCGTTTGTTGTAATCCAGTAGATCTTTCAAGAAGAGGTCAACGGCCGACCTGGCAGGAGGTCCCTCCGTATGCAAGAGGGTGGTGGCGATGCTTGGCAGATGCAAATCGATGTAGGCCAGAATGCGCACCAGAGCTTGTTCCATTTTATCCGACAAGGCTTTCGGCAGGGCATTGTGCAGGCATTTTTCTCGTTGGGCCGCTCTGAGAGTGGGCATTCTCGCACGCCCTTGGAATCCACCATCGCCAGGGCAAGTCAACCCCTCTTCCTCTTGTTCATCGGCTGCCTTCAAGGCGGATTCGACCAGGTAGTCGACTTCTGATATCTCCAACGCATTGGACAGCTGCACGATAATTTCTCCCTTTTCTATTCGTTCGCCAAGCGACAGGTCCGAGCATGTTGTGGAGGCATCTGGCGCTGGTATTTCCGTAACTTCCACTGAAATGCGAGAGAAATCGTGGTCGTCGGCCGGTTGGGCAAAGACAATCAGCGACAACAGGAGAAAAACGGTTGATAATGCTTGTGCTACAAGCATTTTCTACTCTAGAGTGTGTGCAGCAGCAGCAGCTCACCCGAGAGAGTGCCATGGTGTCGCTCGTGAAAAAGATCCTGAGGGCAGATCGGATCTGTTACTAGCTACCGGTACCTAAACTAGCTACTACTAGTAGTAGCATATTCTACATTGTAAAGAATCACACATTTTAAAATTACTAGTATCGTTTAGTCTTGGCATACTCGTGAATCCACTGCCAGGGAGTAAATCTAGCTTTGCAGACTCAATTTCTCTTAACACAGCCGCAACTGCTCCGCGCCTCTCTCTTGCCTCCGAAAGCAGGTCTTCTTGCCCTGCTGGAGCTAGTAGCATAGCCAGATATCAGTTAATGAAGATTGGTATGGCTTGTTGTTGTCTAAGTAGGTGGTCGACTGCCGGGCAGTGGATTTAGGCGCGTAGGTTCCGGTATTGGTTGAACGCGCGACTCAATCCTTCGTCCATCGATCTTGCACAATGACACAAAAGAGTGGATCGATCATCGTGGAGCTGAAATCATGTCGGCATCTTCATCAGACAGCGACGATGAGGATTCCTTTCACTCTGCTAGAAGAGGCAATGATCCACCGGCTATGGTAGTTGGTCATTCGACGCCCTTTTCGCATGCATCAGACCTAAGTAACTCGACGAGGAGTGGCCAAAATCGTTCAAATGAAAACAGAAATGTTCGAGGAGCATCACTGGAAGCGTTAGCTACCGCCGCAGCATCTACACCACTACGCAACATCACCAACAACAACAGGAGTAGCAGGAACAATCGCGCACCAACAAGAGCTATGAACACCCCTCCAGCTGCAGCTGCAGCTCCACCAAAGGAGCCAGAGATGCCTGCAGAAGAATTCGAAGCACAGTATGACAGTCAATGTCGCGACAAGAATCCAAACGACGACTCTGATGATGAAGGCGAACTTGCAAGTGAACTGTTTGCTACTATTGAGGGTGAAGAACAGTGCAATCAAGAGGGTTTGGATGAAGAGCTTGCCGCCATTGCTTCCGCTGTTGAATTGCATTTCAAAACTACCGATCCAGTTGGCAAGCGCAACATCAGTCTCTCTGGAGCACCTGCCACTTGGAAACCTCCAGGCGCTCCAACCGACTGGACAGCACCGAACAAGCAGGTCACCAGTGAACCATCTTTTGCTGAGGTGGACAATCCTGGAAACTGGAGTGACTTTACCTTTCGACCAAAGTACCTGACGACTGGAAAAGGAGCTACTCGCAAGAAGAAATATCTCTACCACTCCCTACCAACCGGCGCCACTCCTGTTCCAGCAAATAACCAGGACAAACGCAAATGTGAAGGCTGGGAATTCTTCTACGACGGATGGGAGCTTCCAGAGAACGTTCCACGGTACAGGTCTGGTGCAACCAGATACAATATGTTTCCAGACAGCAGGAAGGGATCACTCGACGGTGAAAAGCTTACTGCCCTTGGTCTTTGCAAGGAGCGAATGTTGCAAGATGATGGTACACCTGACGCCTTGTTCTTTTACCAACTCATTCTTCCTATTTGCGACACCAGCAAGAATCAGAATGACCCACGCATGTCATTCTACAAGGATGTTGCGGTGCACAGTAATGGCTATGCGGTCACTGAGTTGGAACTTGGCAGCTCCTACTATCACGCTTTCCGACCAGTTTCCATTCAAGAGTTTGTCCGCTGGGACGGATCTGTTGTTCAGGACGGTGTGCTGGGTGGAAGCGATGGTGCAATCCTGCGTCGCTTCGACAGAAGGGAAGGGAATGTACAGTACTGTCCCATTATCAGTGGTGCTATGGGAAAGACACGGTGGCTCTTGATCAAGCGAATCTACAAACTGTGCAACAACTATTTGGCTGTCAAGAAATACAATCCAGGCTATGATCCATGCTACAAGTATGATTTGATTTACAAAGTTATGTGCAACAACATCAACTCTCTGACCAAGAAAGCTGGATTGGATCTCTGTGGAGATGAAACCTCATGGCCGCATCAAGGGTATGGAGAGTCTGGAACTGGAGTTGTCGGTCAAGTATTGGGCAAACCTGGAATATCTCGCGGCGGCCAGACTGTCATCATCGTGGACGTTGACCGAATCAGACCAAGATGCTACGTTCACCGACACAAATGGCATCAATACCCCTTCACTCAAAAAGGCCCAAGCGAAGTGCGCATGTGTTATGACAAACTGAAACCGTTTATGGAAGCCGATGAAAACGTGGAGCCACATTTGCGCAAGCCCATTCTCTTCACAGAAAAACCTCACTTTACGTTCGACAACTTTTTCAGTGGAGATCAGATCATGGAGTTCGCTGCGGAGGAAGGATTTGGGCTCACCATGACATGTCGAAGGGATCGCCTTCCAAAGAAAGTCCCTTCGAAGTATTGGTGTAAGGAGAAGACTGATGGAAGCACACGTCCGCGAGCGGCAAGATATGAGAAGCCCATCTTTGCCATCAAGAAACACGCTGATTCACTTCTGCAGTTCACTTCCTTCCAATCAACCAGCTCCTGCAACTTTGCCTCTGTTAACGCCATTAACTCCCTGGATCTGTATGTATCTATGAAAGAGCGTGGCCGTGGTCGCAACAAGTACACCTGGTTTATCGAAATGAATGAGGCCCGTCAGCTCTACCTTAAGTCCTACAATGGTGTGGACAAACTGGATCATCTAATTCAAAATTGCAATATGGGCTATCGGTATGTAATGGTTGTTGTTGCTTGTTGTCTTGCCATTGTATGCTAACTACTGTATTCAAATTTTCGAATTTTGTCGCAGGAGTTGGAAGTACTGGCATTCACCGATGGTCCACGCTAAGGCGATGGCTGTTGTTGTTGCGTATGACATGTATCTAGAGGTATGCGAAGGCAACCTCAATGCTGATTGGCGAGTTAACAAGCCCGTTTCCTTCTACCTCTTCCGCGAAAAGCTTGCACGGCAGATGCTTCAATACGCACCAAGGAATTGTCATTATCTGGGGGATGAGAAGATGCGCGATAACACGATAACAAACAAATCCAATCGACAGCGATCCAGAACTCCTCCACGCAGGAAGCGACCTGCGCCCGATGAGCTGACAACAGCCTCAGGCGTCAGCCTCGATCTCATGACATCACCAGAGGGAAGCCACAGGGATCGACTTTGCGGATTCATCACTCCTCTGCTGGAGCACTACCAAAAAACCACGACAATGGCGAATAAGAAGAAGCTCAACTGTGTCTTTTGCGGCAAGCCTTCATACCAGTATTGCGAGTTGTGTGCAAAGCCAATGCACAAACACCAACAGAAAGATGACGCCATACCCTGCTTCTTTCACTACCACAATACGGCTTCGATGGGATTGGCTCGAGAGGATTGGCGTGTCACTAACAAAAAACTGCGACAATGGCAATACCCGACGGCTGATCAATTCCAAGATAATGAGAATCAAATGCGGCGATTGCTCGATGAAATTGGCCGTGGTGATGGTGTCAGCGTTAACAACAGCGATAGCAACAACAGCCAACAGCCGACAAACAACAGCGAAGAAGATGGATCGACTCCTCCAAGGAGTGAACCAGTGTAAAAACGCCACTCCCCAGTAGTGGCACTCCCCAGTAGTGACAAGCACTATTTGAGTCGTCGTAGAATCCTAGTAGTTAAGCCTATGTAGCATACGCAGTGACACCATGGGCGACCACTGCTGGGTAGTGGATAAAAAATGCCAAGACTAAACGATAGAATCATTTTAATTTTTTCTTACTACCGTAGCTAGCTAGCTAGTAGCTAGTATTCATATGCCCTCTGGGTCGTCTCCGTTTCCAGTACTAGTTTAACTCGTTTACTAATACAGGATTATGGTGAATAGAATCGAATGAATCATGTGGCTTATATTTAGGGTTTAGGTTTGGCAATTTCGGTGGAACCCGCTTTTGCTGATGGGGAAAAGCTCTTTATGTACGAGGCCACCAACCGTACTGCTTATGACCAAAGAGGCCTTGTTATCATGTGCCCCAGAGGTGAAGTTTACGAACAAACTGGTGAACGTTTGTTGCCCCAGATCCCAACCCCAGAAATGGCCTTGAAGTGGTTCAATGAACTCTTTAAACCGGCCCTACATGGCAAATACGTGTACGGCCCGGCAAAGAAGGATGATCCCTTCCTAGTTCTCGACAAACAGGACAAGTGGTACAAGATCCATGACACCTGGAGTAAGCTGATCACCCACTCCGACATACTGACTCACCTTGTGACGGATTCTTTGATCGATCAAGGCGAATACCGCACTGTATCCAAATTCCTCAAGGACGACAAAGGCCATGTGTACTCTATTTAGCCTCGTGGTCAACTCCCCGCTTCACGTCTTACGTCCGTTGGTTACTTCACCGAAACAACCTGGATGCATCGGACTTCGATCGCATGCGGGCCATCACTTGTGCCCGTCGCAACATTATTACAAGCCACTACGCAAGCACACCATCCCCCGCCCCCACCTCTACTCCACCAGTTCGCCTCCAAGCTGCCACACTGGCCCCTCCCCATGGTTTTGCACTACCCCCCGGCATGAACTTTGAGGCCTTCTTGGAAACTCTTCTCGAAAAGCAACAGCAGGAGAAAGGTGGTAAGTCTCCTACAATAGCTTCCCGTATAAATCCCCCGTGCCTTCACTTTCAAATCCTCAATAATGGACCTCCCAATATTATTAGCAAACCATTCCCAGTTCCAATGCAAACAAATACGTCATCTCCCGTACCACCTGTTCCACGAACCCCGTCGGCCAAAGTGTCACCTGCGAATAGACAGAATGATGACACTCCAAAAGGTATGAAGAAAGCTGCCGAAATTGCTCACGATCCTATTAACGAATAACCCAGTACCGAAGAAGAGAGGGAAACAGAGGAAGAAGAAAGGACACCAAGCTCACAGCGGAAGCGAGCAAACCCTCCAATTAACACATACTATCACACAAAACCTTTACAACCTCACATATACCACGTTGACTTCA